AAGTACTTTGAGAAATGAGGTTTTTCACTTTAAAAAGCTTTATTACTGCGCCGCAATAGAATGTGAGATATGAAGCATACCCAAAAATGAGGATAGAAATTCGTTAAAACGTATTCACTACCGATACATATCGGCTTTCACTGTCAAGTATTTCATCAATTATTGATTGATATATAAGTGAATAAAATGAACGTAATGCAAATACATATAGCAGTTACTCCAAACAGTAAACATTATTTTTGTATGTTATACCTTAAGAAGGTTTACTGATACACTGATAAATTAGTAAAAGCTTAAATAGGTGTAAATAACGTAAGAATACTTAATAAGCTCTATCATAGTTTATTGATGCTTCGCAGAATAGCTCGACAAATGCGTGATTAGTCGTTTGTATCTTTGTTTGAATAGTCATGGCAGAAAAGGTTAAAGAGAAAACAGATATTTGGTGAAGTGAATGATATACAGGTTGTTTCAGTTTATTGTTGCATAACTTTAGGATTCGATACAACTTTTAAAATTAATGCATAAAGTATATATAAACATGGGTCGAAAAATGCGTGGCTTCCGAAATACAGGGTGTTTAAATTTACTTTCTAAAATAGTTTATCTTTTAAATATTTCGAACAATATTTGATATATAATAGTGAAAATTCGTATAGAAAGGTTTTTTGGTACGACAAAACGAACCATGGGCATAGTTTTACTGTAGTCGCTAGAGGGCGCTCTCTACTGTACATGTAGTGTATTAAAATGACCGAACATTTTTTCTTAGTGCAATTTTTTGCTTTTTGAATAAAAAAACTGATTCTTCGCACTTTTCAACATAAAAAAGCTCTCTTGTGAATTTTCGTTATAGTTAGCCGTTTTTGAGATATTTCGATTTTTAAGGTTCGATGCATTTTTAATTATTTATGATAAAATAACGTTAAAAAGTCAGTATCTCGATAATTTTTAGAAGTAGGCTGTGCCTGCAAATATTTTTGAAATTGAAAGCAGAATAAGGTTAAACGTCAATTAGTTGACAGTTAGTTTTGTTGTCTGTTGAAACCTGAAACGTTTTTTTGCAATTGTGAATGCACGAAATTTAGTTTCTTTTACCTGTTTTTTTTTGTAAGTTTTATAAAAATGCCATTTTTATTCTCCAATCAAGAATTAGCGGATATTCATTTTGTGTATGGCTTTGTAAAGGGAAACGCAGCAGAAGCAGCCAGAGAATACGCACGAAGATTTCCAAACTGACGACATCCAACTCGCTCAGTATTTGTAAGAGTGCATCGCCAAATAATTGAAAATGGTTTTGGAAATCTCCAAAAGGATCAAAACATAAATGTTCGTCAGCGCAGATTTACCCGTATGATTGTGCGTGAGTTTGATAGAGATGCGACCACAAGTGTTAGGAGAGATTCTGGTGCCTTGGGAATTTCAGCAAGCCATGTTCACCGTGTTCTCAGAAATGACCATAGACGTCCTTACCATTTGCAACCTGTGCAAGGACTACAGCCAGGGGACGGAGAACGAAGAATCACATTTTGTCAGTGGATTCTTGATAGAACTGATAATAATAGGGAGTTTTTAAGTAACGTTTTATGGACCGATGAGTCATGCTTCACTAGACGTGGAGTGGTAAATTTTCATAATCAACATATTTGGTCGTATGAAAATCCGCATGCAGTTCGGGAAAGAAATTTTCAGCATGAATTTAGTGTGAACGTGTGGATTGGTATCTACCGTAATCGACTATTTGGACCCTACCTTTTGCCTGCAAGGTTAAATGCTGCGACCTTCTTGGAATTTTTAAAGGCTGAACATGCAAATATGTGGGATGATGTTATGTTAGATTTAAGAAGATTGGCCTGGTTCCAGCTTGATGGTTGTTCAGCTCATTATTCGAGAATAGTTAGAAACTGGCTGGACGAAAATTATCTAGAAAGATGGATCGGCCGTGGAGGACCAGTCGCCTGGCCTCCACGATCCCCTGACCTAAATCCATTAGATTTCTTTATATGGGGATTTCTAAAAGAAAAAGTGTACCGGACTTCCGTAACCACAAGAGATGTGCTAATAGACAGGAATGCATGTGATGAAATAAGGCCTTATTTGAATAATGCTATACCACGTTCGATCATTCGTAGATGTGAATTGTGTATTGAACAATTGGGTTTACATTTCGAGTAACTACTTTAGATTTTGTATGTTTGTCCTAACTATCCAATAGCATTTTAGTTGTGAATAATTAATTTAATTTGTAAAAAATAATATTGGAAAATTAAACAAATTAATATTCTGTTTTTTGTGTTTATTCGGAGTTAGGAATTATTGCTGTGTTTAAAAACACAATCTAAACGATCATCTTAATTACTTGTAATGCCCAAATCGAAAATATAAAAAAAATATTATTTTCCCATAAATAATTAAAAATGCATTGAACCTTAAAAATCGAAATATCTCAAAAACGGCTAACCATAACGAAAACTTACAAAAGAGCTTTTTTATGCAGAAAAGTGCGAAGAATCAGTTTTTTTATTCAAAAAGCAGAAAATTGCACTAAGAAAAAATTTTAGGTCATTTTAATACATTACAGGTGCAGTAGAGAGCGCCCACAAAAAGCGACAAACATCAAATTCTATTGACTATAAATAACTTCTTTGCTTTGAAGAAGTGCGATTGAGCAATCAGCAAGAATTTTATTGCTAATAAGCAGTGAACAAATGGCATGCCTAGACATCAGAATAGACATTCGAAATATTTTTAAGATGCATTTCTGATTTTGGATTTCATAGTATGCCTGTCTGCTTAAGTAAGTACTCACTGATAGTTATTAAATGCTCTCTTATAAGTTACAATTATTTACTTATAAGGAGGAACCTATATAATCCGATAGACGTGTTGTGTTTATCAGTATTAGTAAACATTCATTCACTTCGTGGTAAGTAATGACGCTTTTACTTTACTGAGCCCTTTTCAAATTTCTAGTACTAAGTGTTTATTATTCACTTCTGTCAATCAAATCTACAGTCAAGACTTTGGTATATGGTATATGGTATATGGTAAAGTATGCTTGAACAACCAGCATTTGTCAATAGTTAGTTATGAGGATGTGTCATAGAAATCGGAAAATTTTTAAGACGCATTTTTGATCCTGCGTTTCAAATTCCGTCTGTCTGAGTCAGCGATTCGACGCCGCGGTAATCGATAAGTGTGCACTGTCAGGTATAAGTTTTTACTTATGAATGGCTACCAGTAAAAGGTATTTGTTTATCAGTATTAGTGAACAAATATTCACTTCTTTGTAAGGATCTACGACACTATCTTTATAAAGCTCCTTACTGAACCCGTTCGAATTTCTCTGTGATAAGTATTTATTATTCACTTTAGCCACTAAATAAGCCCGAAAATATGAGAAAATCGAAAAATCTACAAACGGGTAGGTTCTTAAATTGTATTGTTTTGCACATAGGCCATCTTGACTAATAACCTTCTAACGTAAAACGAAGGATCAGTTGAGTGAATTTGTTTCATCGAATACACAACCCAACTAGCAAAGTAGTGGTATAAGCTTTTGGTAAAAGAACCGTTCAGCCATAAAAGCTCTCTTTTGTTGTTGCCTGAACACAAAAATGCTGGCTTAATGTTGTGTGGAATGCAGATTTGCTTTCTGCAACATATTTGCTTTAAAATTAAGTGTTTAAAATATTCTTATAGCATAGTTATACAACACCAATCTTTAACTGTTGCATAAACGTTTATACAACTATTTTATACGGCATATTTGCACGTTAGTCAAAATGGTTGTGTTGTGGCATCCATGGTAACGTTTATAAAACAAACCCGAGCCTTGTTGTTTTGCTGTGCAATTTACTACTTTAGCCAACAAATTGCTCGCAACGGGAGCACTTATACAACTGTTGTTTAGTAACTGTTAAAGGTTGTACATATGCTAAATATGTTAGTAAACAACTTCACCATAACCTAACTTTTTGCTGTCATATTTTTGTAAAATGCTAAAATGCCATAATCAATGTTTTAAGACAAACAACGCATGCATATTGGTTCAAAAGGTTTTATCAACTGTTCAAACAGAAGATGTAGATCTGGTACACATTCTGGGTAAATCATTCGACTCTGTCGGTATTTCATTTCAGACATTTGTCAAATTGTTGTATAACACCTGCAGGCAACACCAAAATATTCTAATAACCTAAAGACAACATGGACGATGCCATGATTATCTATACAATACATAAGAAATAGTTTGGTTGCAATAAAGTAGAATCACGTAACAGAATAGTTGTATAGTTGACAAAAACTGAATCTTGCACTGACGCAAATGTCCTATAGCGGCTGCAAGAGGCTTACATTTTTGTTTTATAACTGTTACCTGCAGCCCTTATTCAACCTCTTAAATGACTGAAGAGTCCTATTAGGTGTGCCCATTCCGCTTGTATATAGTAGCTGTTCTAAGAAGGTTTTGCCAATGTTTTTACAGTATACAATGCTGTTTAAGGAATACTGTATAATCATTCTTGCAACTCTAATAGGAATGATAATTGTTAGTTGAGAAGATTCCTTGATGCATAAAAAAGAGTTGTTTATAGCGATGAGGTGAATAGTAGTTCATACATTTTGCGCTCATCAAAAAATTCACTTAACCAAACGAAGTTCTGGAACAATTTGATATTGTTTGTTAACTATAATTTTTTTGCTGATGAATAAATATTCGAAAATATCGCAGCTTCATGATATCATGTCGTTCATTAAGACTCAACAAAACCAGTGCAGTAGTTGCTGACGTCATGAATTCATAAATATGTAAAGAGACTGAAGAATCAAGGGCAAGTGCCAGATTTTCAATACTTACCTTTCTATTGCGGAAGAGGTACAATGTTTATCTCTTCTTTAATGACTAATTATGACTAGATGCTTGACGGATGGTTCGTATGTGACTATAATCAGTATTACAGTCACTCGCTTATCTCGCTATATCATAGTTTCACTTCCAGATAATCGCTATAACACTAGCTGCGAGCACCTGCGTCCTGTCAAGTCCAATAAACCAACATTCAATTGAGATCCACCAACCACCTCGTAGCTACGATGCCGAGTCCAACAGTACCCCAATACCCATTATACACCAAGAGCAAGAAGTCGAGTTTGACGGCACGTACCACTCTTCATTTGAAACCGGAAATGGTATTGTTGCTCATGAAGAGGGCCATTTGAAGAATGCAGGGCAAAAAGATGAGGAAATTGAAGAGGTGCAGGGCGAGGTGCAATATACTGCGCCTGATGGGACTATCATCAAACTAAAGTGAGTACCTTTTCCCGTCAGCACTGGAAACAATAGGCTTACGTCACACCATAATGTGGCCATATCGAATATGATTATACAGGGTGACTTTGAAGTTGAGTCATTAATTTTCAGATAATGATTGTAGAAGGAAGATAAACCAAAATATGTGTGTAAAAATAAAAAAAAAATTAAAAAAAAAAATTACCTTGTTTTATAAAGTATCCTCCCGACAAGTATTTCAGTGCGGACCTGTATTTGATCGTGAGGTCTTGGAGCACCGGCATGCCGTCCCCTGTGAGGTCTTAAGTCACCTGATTCACGAGCCCGTTGTACTACATTAACAAAGGCACGAGGGGTTGGTTGCACTCGATTGGGAAACCGATCCGCATGAACATGTGCCATTTTTTATTTCGTTTGAGCCACGCAACAGACACCACTATTCACTCACGCGTTACCGACTGACACTGACTGTATATGTATACAACTGAATAAAATAATTGTAAAAACATCGTTACAAATTCTTTCGCTTTTTTGTTTCCGATGCGATGAACCGATAAGGCGGATTATATCCGTTGTTGCCAAGCACGAGCACATAATATTATTATTGAGACAGGGCGGTACTCAAACTTCCAAAGGGCTATAACTTTAATTTTACCAGAAAAATGGTAAAGGAAAAAAACATTTCTTTTGATCAGATCTACTCACTGTTAAAATAAATGATTCAACTTCGAAGTCACCCTGTATAGTAAAGTGGGGTGTCCATAAAATATTTAATAAAAATCCAGAATATGTTACGTACTCGTTTATTGTTATTTAAGTACGACAATCTCGTCGATTAAAACTAGTATCTGTAAGAAATCAAAATAAATTTAAATCATTTTTTTCTTCAGTTCAATGACAGTATATTTTATTTATCTGTCTTTCAAAAAAGAACCAGCGTTGCCTTTTAAGCTGGTTTAGAGTCGGTATATGAGAGTTTTGCAATATAAGAGGTAGCATACTATAAAGGCTTTTATTGTTTATTTCCTATTGGCCAATAAAATATAAGCCCCACTCGGATATTTAAAAAATAGTCCCAAATCATATTAAGCTCATTAGCATGTCAAGGTAAATGTTTGCAAAAATAAATAAGTTAAGCTAGAAAGAGACACCATTTCAGTTACGTACCTCTTGTATTCATCAATGTAATATGTTACTCCTACTGAAACATGAATATTTGATTATGTCAAGCCTACATGGTCTGCTAGGGGCATTTAACATAGTATGGATTGACAGTGAATGGTTTATAAAGCCATAGCTTCCCTATTATTACAGGTACTTGAGCGCTGCAGGTAGCAAATTAAAACTCAAAAAGGAACTCAACATATAAAACTCATTGTAGGCAAAATTGGACTTTTTCTTGTCTGGATCTGACGTACAGATATATTATCTCTTTGATAAACTATGATCGACAATGGTTATTTTTTCAAAGACGGTTATATTTTAGGTTCTTGTTTCCTATTTGGTTCTCATTGTTGACGAACGCCACATTCAAACCTTTTGTGTAATATTATTCGTAGACACTTAAGTAGATGAACGATGATGCTTTTATTCACACTATTATATTCTTCAGATACATAGCGAATGAGAACGGATTCCAGCCCGAGGGAGATCATCTTCCCAAGGCTCCCGTAGATGAGAACACCCCGCCTCCAGTACCCCCAGCAATCGCCAGGGCTCTTGAGTACATTTTGGCTCATCCACAAGAGGAAGAAGAATCGCAAACCGCGAAGGCACATCATTAGTACTGATATTAGTTAAGTGTTCCTGTATTTTATATTTTTGTAAATAAAAGAACAATGTATGTATGACTACAACTCTTGATTACATAATCCTAACCTTTCACTAAATCTTTTTGCATTTCTTTGTATTTTCGAATATTTTTTTGACATACTTAGTAATAGAGGAAAGTGCCCAAAGACGGACCCCCATGTTGGTATTGATTTGGAAGACATGAAAAGTAGATAAAAACAAATTACAAGACAAACTGTAATTACCCGCTCAATTATAATATAAAGTTGGAATACTTACATACAATTTCAGAGCTGTACTATTATATGTTAACAAGGTACGCTTGAAAAATATGCACATGCATTTTTTGACAAAGTTGAAAACATTGATTCTTAAGCCATCTCTATATACACTATGAAATTATGAGTTGAAAAGACTAATTAAGAATGCTTCTAAGAACATGCTGATGAAGAAAAAGGGATGTACGACGTAAGCACCATCAACACTAGACGTTTCTAAATTGTAGTTGCATATTGTTATTAAGAAAATAACTCCCAAAAATCTTATACAAACCTTATTTGATAAATAGGCACCAAAATCAGATCTCTAGTAAAAACTGTCAATCATTAATCAAACATTTATTCCTCAGAAGTGATACAGAATATATTTAAAACAAAAGTCGCAAACGTGCAGCTCTTTTCTGCTCCCCTACTTCTTCGATCCGATCATTTTATTCCGGATTCATTAAGAGTTTTATCCATTATAGAAAGAATCGTCTACTACTACTACACATCGCAATGATGGAGTTTCAGAGAATGAATAGCCAATGAGTCCATGGGTCTGCTTAAGGGGAGGGGTCCAGTTTAGGATTCTCTATCGTAATTATATTTCTATTAGAGAAATTTGTCCTAAGCAATATTTTGTAGTAGTGAAGTATAAGGAATTATTTATGTATCGGCCTCGTCTCGTAAAGAGAATAGATGTAGTACCCCGTTTCCCGGCCAGATCCACGAACTCAAAGCGTACCCGCAGCGAAGAAGAGCGGCTCAAGTTTTATGTACCTAAAACCAGGGCACCTCGGGCTATATTGCGTCGGAACATGTGAAAACTTGCATATTAATAAATGAAGATAGGGTCCTCTTGCAGCGGCAGAGAGAGCCAGGTCATTTAGCTGAGGTAGATAAGAAAGTAGCCATTAAAGAAAACAAGGCGCGTCTTAGGAACACCGGAGAATAAAAGCAGTGAGCTAAATATGTTAAAGCCGACTATGCACTAACGAGTGAAATTTTTTGCCCTGTAACATTCTCAAGGTAATTTTAACGCTACCATATTATTAACATCTGCACTTAAGGTCTACCCTATTGACAATGCGACAACTATATCCTACATCAATAGATTGGGAACTTCCAGTTTCTATTCCTGGACCAGGTTGCGGAAGAGATATGGCAGTTATGTAAAGAAAGAAATCTTACTGCCCTCGCTCCAAATATAAAATCAAGGAGTAATATTGATACAGATAAGCTTTGCGTCAGTGGGAGGTGGGAGCTCCACCTGTCACTGTCCTGATTTTGGTTCACGTGTTCGGTGTCCTTGATATTTTGCATCTAGAAGTAATGCAGTGACCTGGTGGAGCGACCCAGGACCCCGCTCTGACTAATTCTGAAGCTCAACCTGGTTGTCGTCCTGGAAAGCTGTCATTTCGATCAGCACCTACAATCCATCATACATGTTTTTCTACCTTGAAATTTCTCACCTTAAAGTTAGATAAGAGATTAAGATATAATTGTTTGATTTGCTATAAGTCAGCTATCAGTCTTATGTCCAAAGTGCTACTAACGATGCAGGCATCAGATGGTTCTTGAAGGGCGTTTTCAGGTTGAGAGAAACTTATCGTTTACTATTTCAGAGCGTTAGTAGTATGTTGTTGCAACTCGCGTTGCACATCTACACCTATTCTTCTTACGAGACGAGGCCGGAACACAACTACCTACATGATCAAACTAACTTACCCGTAAGTGATGTCTGGATCTTAATTCTGTAAAGGCCACTTACAGCTAAGTTGGCTTGATCATGGAATGTTCTAAATGTAAAACTATCGATCTATTACTTATTTTCATCAAGCTTTAGTTGAACTTGTTCATAATTTCATATTTACCACCCCTCTAAGTTGACAGTTGTTGACATTTTATATCAAATGCACACTTTGCTGCGAAAATATATTAAAGTGAGTGGGTTCCATACAACCATGGTGTTGAAGCCGTCAGAAACAGTTGAGTTTTATGTATATTGGAAAACGCAGCTTAAAGTGAATAAGAGCAAATCTCTTTATCGACATGTGTCATAGGTATATCACAGCAATTTATTTAACTTCAGTTCTTGTTCCAGTCCCAATCTAAATTTTATTAACAGAATTGTATCCCTAACAACAACATTGGAATATGTGATATATCGCAGAAATTTTTTTTTTATACTGAAAGCGGTTAACCGAAACTCAATCAAACTAAACTGAACTAAAATTCACATTAATCTACTTTAATTTTGAATCTGAAAGTTGTTAGGGAAGGTACTTTCGCGTAATGTGTAATAATTTTACGATCTCATTTAAGTGCCATGATATCTTATGGACGCCGAAAAGAAGACTTAATATTAATTAAAGTACTAAAAATACATCCAAATCAATTTATTGGAAGGATAGACAGATAGATGCTGTAATAGCAGGCATTTCCATATTATGATAAACTAAGTATTTGCTTTTAGCCAAGAATGTGCTCGAATCACGACAAATATTAAGAAAAACCGAATAGGATTTATGCAAGGTTTGAAGGAAAGATTATTTCGTATTTTTCACCTTTCAAAATCACAAGTTAGGCAGAATTGTTCATATCCTGTACCGTCAATGAATATTAACTTTAATTTATCACTCTGATGCAGTATTTTTGCCTTACCCTACGTGAGCAGGAACAGCTACATGGATATCCTCCTCTGTCTAGAAAAGAATTTACGCACGTAACCTCATCATCGGTAATACTCCAGTAGTAACAAAAACATACAAGTCTTAAGATTTCCGAGACGTTAGGTTCGGCAGAATTATTCAAACCTAAACGGCACCTAATCCGCTCGTGCACCTCGATCAGATTAAATTTGAACACGTACGATGCGGATCAGTACTCAATCTAGCCGCGTTTGTAAACAGAACCTTTACACATCGGTTCTAAAAAGATATGGCACATTCTTACAGCAATATCGACGTCTTATTTTAATCTACATTGAGAGTCATCGAATTGCTACCGAGGCTTCGCGATTGCATGCAGATCGCTTTTGAAAATCGCTCGCGATTTCTTTTTCTGTTTGGAGTGAAATGAAATGTTTAGTGTATAAAACCGAGGTGAACACGGTTGACAACCTACGTGTGCGAATTTAGCAATCTGCTGCATTTAGTCGGGGAAGGCAATCCATTCTAGAAGCCTACACCGATGCTCGGCTGTGTTGACCACATACATGTGTCTGTGAATCTATCGCAGACAACTTTGAACAATACTTACAATACTCAAGTGACAGAGCTGTACTTGAAATTTATTTTCGATGAACGATGAGTATTTTTTCATTTCACTTTTTAGCTGTTGTTTCACAGCACATTTTACAAACGTAGTAGTTTCGAAAAAGAAAGTCCCAGCTATATTACGTGTACATCGGTCTCCACCTTTTCGTCTCGCTTAAACTGAATGGCAGCTCCGAGAGTCATTTCGGATTTTACTATTTATTTGTCTCTAGGTTGTTTTGGAATTTTTACCTGGTATTATACAGCCACGTAACTTTGAAACAACGCTATGTCTGAGTTGAGTATCATTAAGAACATACACTTTTTTGACCTCACCCAAGGCGGGTACTTAAACATATTCTTGACAACGAGGGAGTGGAATCGCTGACAGAAGGTGGACCTGCATTCCTGAATGCTAGCCAAGTAGTTGGTCCTGGAGGACAATTCTGAAAATAAGGGAAAAGAATAACAGAGAGAATATGAGTGTGGTTCTTTCAGGATACTGTATTTCTGAATGCTAGTGGAATATTCGATTCTCGGAAGAAGAACGTGGTTCATAAGTCTAGTTCCTAATGACGGAGATAACTTTGTGATAAAACGTTTAATGATGTGAAAAACCTAGAAACACATTAATATGCCCTAAAGAAATGTATTCTCAAATTAATTTGAGCTACGTCAAACACACATTAAAAGCTACCAGAAAACTCAATCGAACACTTTCTACTAGGTGTTTCCTCGCTTTTAAGAATCGCTACTGTTCGTCATTGTCTGTCAGAGCGGTCCGTAGGACCTTTGCTCTTGGTTGAAGTCTTGTAAGTCAGTAGGTCTGTCAGGTCTGGTTGCCCAGATACCAAACAAAGTCAGGGAGAAAGTAGGGAAGAAGAAAGGAAGGAAGGAAGGAGGGAGAGTAAAGAAAAAAGAAGTGCATCAATTTGAGGGGTGCCTTGGCATTGCTAGTTAGTATTCGGCAATTTTAAATTGATCCTAAAATTAATTTTGGGATTGGTTGTTGAAGAAAAATTATAATTTTGGTTGGACCTAAAGTCGCACGATTTAATTTTGTTCACAGTGCGAGTCGCGGCCTTGTGTGCTTGCGAACTTGCTCGACTGTGTAGTCTACTGACTCGCGCAACAAAGGGTTGTTATGCGATTCTGCTTGACTGTAACGTAGCTGCGCTTGTTGTTTGATGTAGTCCCTTAGGTAAGGGATGTCAAGGTCTCTATGAAGGGTCTCGTTGGAAACATACCATGGGGCGTTAGTGATTGTACGCAAGGTTCTGTTCTGCAAAACCTGCAGGCTACGCAAATGCGTTTTGGCGAGAAAACACCAAGCCGCACTTGGTGTAAGTGATCGCTGGTCTAATAACCATCTTGTATAGTCGAACTATGTTGATCAAACTTAATTTTGATGTTCTACATAGCATAGGGTAGAGTTGCCGAAACGAGATTTGGAATTTAGTTTTTAACGCTTCAGTGTGCTTCTGCCAGGTTATCCCCTTGTCAAGAGTGATACCGAGATACTTAGCAGAGCTTTCCCATGGTACCTGAGCGCCATTCACTGAAACCTCAGACGGGGCGCCGCTACGTTTTTTCGTACATTGCAGTGTCATCAGCATAGAGATAGGTTTCACAGCTGCTGGGGCAAGGGACGTCATGAATAAAAAGTGAATAAAGGACTGGTCCAAGAACCGAACCCTGAGGGATACCGGCTTTGATGGGCCGTGTTGTCGACAGAACGTTATTAATTTTGATCCGAAATTTTCTACCCTCGAGAAAGGATTTCAAAAGTTTTAGGAGCCAGAAGGGGAAGCCCTTATGGATCAATTTGTAGAGAAGGCCTTTGTGCCACACCTTGTCAAATGCCTTTGAGACATCCAGTAGCAAAATGCCAGTACTTTCATGACGGGTGAACCCGCTGGTTACTCGTTCAACAAGCCTTATGGCCTGTAGCTCCGTACTATGCTCAGACCGAAAGCCAAATTGCACGTCAGTAATCACATTGTGGTCTGCCGAGAAATTTTCTAGGTGACGTAGAATCACCTTTTCAGCGAGCTTAGAAGGAGCTGACAGTAGACTAATGGGACGGTAATCCTGAGCGAATATCGAACCCACCTTCTTTGGAATCATTATGACATCAGCGGCCTTCCACGCCGTAGGGAAGTGCTGGGTCCTTAGCATGACATTGATTATTGCCACGAGATAAGTTAAGGACTTCCACGAAAGTAGCTTCAGCGCCTTATTAGTGATTCGATCCTCTCCTGGTACTTTACGCACCTTGAGGTCTTTAATATGACCTTGGAGCTCTGCTGGTGCGCAATGCGGAGTCTCAGGAGATCTCGCTGATGTGCCGTGCAGCTCTTCAATTGAGGGATCATCTGAAGATTCCTCTGAGGAAAAATCACTAAGGGAGGCACTACTGCCACTGACGCCGTTGGCCCAAAAATATCTCCCGACGGATCTTACAATATGTTGCTCCTCGTCGAGGTCATTATCAAGGTCATAGTTGGGAGAGAACTGACTTTCCATTGCATCAGCGAAAACCTCGACCTTTTCCTCTGTCCTACAGACTATGCCCCTAGGACCGTGGATGTGCGAGAGTTGTTCTCGCTTTCCGTTTCTGAGCGCCTTTGCAACTGTCCAGAGAGGAATACTTGAGTCAAGCATCCCCGACAGAAAGTCGTTCCATTGCTCATTACGGAATTCATGAAGAGCATTTCTCACTTCATGAACAAGATTAGTTGCTCTGTGAATGTCATCTGGGTGACAAGACCTCTTCGCTTTGCTTAATTGCAGCTCTTTTGTCAGAAATTTTCTGACGAATGTCTGCAGGGAGATTTAAGAATTGCATCACAGGTAGTGTACGGTGTTAAATTTATTCGCTGCCATCTTATTCAGACAGATCCGGCAGCGTCGCAAGGACAGATCTTTTTTTTAAACATTGCCTTTTAAAATCTACCGATTAGCCCCTAATGTGAGCCATATGTATTGTGAAAATCAATAATTTTGACTAAAGGGCTATGGATACATCTGAGGACATGTAGCAAATAATTTCCATTTCACTATGGGGAATGAAGGAGCTTTATAATTGTATATGTATAAGCTATCCGTTGGCATCGAGATCATAACAAATTTTAGAGTCGAATTGGTAAAAGATGGTATCAACTTTTAAACAAGAAAGCTTAAGTACGAATACAGATATTATATTAATTTTCATTATTCTCGCTCTTGAAAATTAATTCCACTCCAAATTGCCTGGCAAGAGTATAACATTGCATCAAAAACCCAACTCAATTACAGCTATGACGAAGCACACTGAGAATGAAATTACTAGCTGTACGAATATTATCAGGATGGCTTATCAGCACTCTACATGAATATTTCAAACCACCAATGTAATAAAAGATAGAAGAAGATAAGTAGGTGATGGGCATTCCATAGGTTACAAGTTAGCGCATTATATTGTCTTCAAACTCGTTTGCATGCAACTCTATAAATTTTTGCATGACTTGAAATCCTATTATGCAAAAATATTCCCAAATCACACTCGCATTAAACTAAAAGACATCATTGGCGTGCACCTTTCAAAAATGACTGTTCCATGTTGTTATTGTTTAGGGCCTACGTTTGAATAAAACGAGATGCATTCCATTTTAAATTGTAAACTGAGTGATTAGAACTCCATTTGTTCGTTTTGGTATGATCATATTGCGTAATTGATTCGAACATGCTATAGCAGTTTGAGCTTTCAGTTCGAACTTAATAATGAATCGAAATAGTTTTGTAGTGCCGCCAATGACGAATTAAAAATTAGGTATAAAATGCAGCTAAAAAGTTGCAGAATCTGCTGTTCGTTGTTGTGTGTTCAGATATTCCATGATGAAATCCACGGTAAGTAGAGTGGCTCTCACATCTTGAATTTTGGTAGAGCTCACAAAATCACGTAACCTTTTTTTACGATTTTGATCACATACTGGTAATTTGAATTTCTCTTTATTAATGGTAGAGTGCCCATTCCTAGGCCAAGCCCTTTTTCAATGATTTTCTTTTGGTAAATTTCATAGTTTATTGATTATATAATTTCACACGTATTATATATTTCTTTCTTTCGGTACATACCTTTAATTGTTGAAAACCATATTACCGATCATTTACCCACTGTAATACTTATATCATCACCAGAAAAAAATAAAAGTAGATTCATCTCCAATAATGAAACAGTGAAATTTAGGTGTTTTGTCGATAATAAAAAACTACTTGCAAATATCAAATTAGAATCGTGGACAGCAGTGTACTGTGCAACGAATGTTAATGATGCTGCAAACACACTCATTGAACGCATAAAATATCGAATTGAATGTAGTACAAACAGAGTTAAAATTAAACATTTTGACAGAAGCAGGAATCCTTGGATAACTAAAGGTTTGATAAAGTCTGCCAACAAAAAAGAGGAACTATACAAAATAATGAAAGCATCGCCATGTGCAGATACCTCCCATAAATATAAAGAATATAAAAATATTTTTATCAATCTAGTTAGAGAAGCAAAACGCCAATTCTATCTAAAAAAAATTACAAGATGCCAAATTTGATCCAAGAAAACTGTGGTCAGTTGTCGATCACTTAACTAACAAAGACGTTCAAGAAAAGCCAAATATTGATGAAATTAAGAATCGTGATGGAACAATATTAACAGATAAACGACAAATATCCGATGCATTCTTAAATTTTTTTACCTTTTCACTAATGTTGGAGAAAATTTAGCATCCAGTATTAAAAAAATGGTTTCGAACGAAAAGTTCACAAAAACCCAACTTCCCAATTCATTCTTTTTAGAAAGCGTTAGTCCGATTGAAGTACAAGAAGCTGTCCTATCACTTAAAACCAAAAAAAGTCCTGGTGTAGATGGTATCAAAGCTGACCATTTAAAAATAATAGCCTACGACTTAGCCGAACCACTTTCTTACGTGATTAATTGGTGTTTCCAATCTGGAATTTGTCCTTCTGCATTTAAAACAACTGTTATTACTCCTGTTTATAAAAGCGGTGACAGAATGGAAACATCAAATTATAGACCCATATCAGTACTATCGAATATAGCCAAAATTTTCGAAAAATTACTACAAAAAAGGATATTACAATTTTTGGACAAAAACAAAATTATATGTTCTGACCAATATGGATTTAGAAAAGGAAAATCTACTACAGATGCAATTTTGGCTGCAATGGATAAAATTAACTCTAATGTCAACAAAAAGATACCTACTTGGTATCTTTGTTGATCTAAAAAATGCCTTTGATACGGTTAACCATGTCGAGCTTCTGAAAGTTATGGAAAGATTGGGATTTAGGGGAGCGTCACAAATCCTTTCAAAAAATTACCTTTCAAGTCGGGCACAGACTGTCAAAGTCACTAACACTTACAGTAAAAAAATGTACATCAAGTGTGGTGTGCCTCAAGGAACAGTACTAGGCCCACTATTATTTAGTCTCTACTTAAATGACTTATTCAAAATTAACAGTTCTGGAAAGATTATATGTTTTGCAGATGACACCCTCGTATTATATGAAGCTGATGACTGGAGCACACTGAAGCAAATAGCTGAAAAGGATTTTATAAGAATCATTGACTGGTTTGATAGTAAAATTTTAACAGGTAAATTCAAAAAAACAAAATTTATTGCATTTACATCCTATTCAAAATTTTACCTACCTTCGAACAAATTTCCGTTAATTATCATGGCCAAAAGACCAAAATCGATAGAGTTAACACTTTGAAATATCTTGGAATATTTATAGACTCACATCTAAGGTGGGATAACTATATTAAATATGTTATCAAAAAAATTAGAAATGTTGCCTATAAACTCAAAATGCTTGCTAACATTCTTACAGAAAGTTATCTGCGAATCCTATACCATGCCTTAGTTGAAACCCATATAATATACGGCATCACAGCCTGGGGTTCCGCCTGCAAGACATATATTTCTGACCTGAATATAGCACAAAAAACTGTTTTGAAAACCATTTTCCATAAGCCAAGATTATATTCAACAAACAACTTATATCAAGAAACAGGGATATTTGATACAAGACAACTTTATTTCTTACATGCCACCACCTTATACCATAAGTATTGCAATAAAAAGAAAAAATCCTATAAACACGAACATAACACACGATTTAGAATAGGCTCATCTAATATCCAAAGACCACACAAAACATTATTCAAAAAATCATTTAAATTCTTAGCAGTTAAATTATATAATGTAGTACCAAACGAAATAAAGATACTTAATTTTGGAAAAAAATTTAGAAGAAAATTGAAAGACTGGGTTAGTAATGTGCAGCGAATGACTATACATAATTATATAGAAAACTAAAACTACAAAATTCCAATTACATTAATAACTTTTAGATTTAACAATAATTGTTATACACATATATGATTGATTGTTAGTTATTAAGATACAAACCACACACAGGCGATGCCTTCTGTGGTTTTTTCATATTTATTTGCCCATTTTTTGTATTTTGGCGAATAAATATTATTATTATTATTTCTCAGTGATTCAGTATTGTGTTGGAAAAAAAACTGTGGTTTTTCTCCGTTACTTTGATCCTACCTTTATAAAGATAGGTGTTCCGTGCCAGTCACTTTCCTCCTGAGATTGTGGTGTGAGCGTCACTTTCTTGAACGCCAGATTCTGGGATATTAGGTGCCGAACACCATTGCTGGAAGCCACCCCTTCCCCTTAGCAAAAAAACCTTGGTGTGAACAGTGTTTTTTTGCTGTGTGAAATTATACTATCAATAAACTATGAAATTTACCAAAAGAAAATAATTGAAAAGTGCTTGGCCTAGTATTGGGCACTCTACCAATAATAAAAAGAAATTCAAATTACTAGCAAGTGATCAAAATAGTAAAAAAAATTTACGTGATTTTGGCACGCGAGAAACTATTCTTGTTAAGAAAAAGCTTATCTGTGATTCGTTTAGCTTCTCTAACTAACTTGAATACTCACAATCGCAGGTCATCAAGATTCACAAGTCCTCTATCTACTGCACTACTTTTCCCATATATCGGCGGTTCAGACACATGCTCAAACTTAAAATAAGCTGTTCACCGACTTTTTCAGATACTCTTCCATTAATTTATATGTCTGGCTTTATTAGCTGACCAAGACATGTATATGAGTCTCGTATTAATGATACAAGTCTAAATACATACAGACGGGGCAGTTTCAAAACTGGAGAGCTAATAATAAGTAATGGGCTTTGTTTTGTACAGATAGCAAGTAACTGGCAGACTTTACCGTGGAGAACTTACTTGATTATAAATGCCGGCCCATATTATCCTATTCATACCGTTTTCGTCTTGCTTACCAAGGCTTATGTAGGACTGTTGTTCAATTTTCAAATGCTTCCGATATACCGTTTCGGTTTGATACAGCCTTTGTCATTGTGTCTTTGCACATTCAACATAATCTTTTTTACCGATGCATCGTCATCTTCAGATATCACATGTGTATTCAAAATTTTATGATGCGCTTAGGTTTTTCTTATAATTTTTGAGAACTAGCCAACTTGATAAGTCCTTGCATGATGACAAAACTAACAGTATAAATCCTTGTTCCTTCTCCATAATTTTCATTTTCTTTCTTCTTCTTCATCTTCTTTATTAGCAAAAAAGCGTTTCTTTGATTACTACATATACGGCTTACCTGTCAAACAGGTGACTGTATTACTCATCAAGTGGCGCATATGAGTAAGTTTCCCATTTCCTTGCATCGAAAATGTCTTAAGGGCTTGATAACTCTTAAAGATGATGCTCTTAAGGCGGCTCCGACGCAGTGAGTTTCAAGCCATTTACAAGGGTTCAGCTGCTTCAAAACTGACACTCCATTTTTCAATATTTTTGAATGAAATTCATACAGTATGTTGAGAAGATAATTGCCCAGGGTGCTATAGGAGCACTTTTTGAAATTTTGTTTTTGCACAAGTTTTATGATGGGTTGAAGTGCGTACTTTTTCTGTTCAACTTCGCGATATTTTTAAAAAGAACCTAATGAAAAAAATTAAAAAGTGGCTCTATAGCACCCCGTGAGGTTTTGTTTTCAGCACACGGGTTCCTTATCATTGACAGAAAAAAATGTACTCCTTAAAAAGTGGGGGTTGGGGGAAGGTGATTCTGAATGTTGCATCTTTGATATCAGTGAAACACGTTCTATTATTAAGAAGCTTCTGATCCCAGTGTTTACAGGAAATTTAAGTAACGAAAATCCGACGAATAATGTGCTCACGATTTGAAAAAATCGGTACCTGCTCTATAGATTTGACATCAAGAGCCAACAGATCTATCTGCAACTGCCGACAGTAGGGAAGAATGAATTCGGATATCACTTCAGTCAAGTATAGGGGAATTTAGCGTGGAACTTTAAAATTATCGATATGTCAAGGAAATATGTTTTTGAGAACGATAATTTGGTAGATTTTATAACTGCATTTTTATTTGAATTTTTTCTTGATATAAGCAGGACATAATTGCCTAAGGTGCTATCAGAGCGTTTTACAAAATTTTGTCTTTGCGCAAGGATTATGGTGGGTTGAAATGCTTACTATAGAATTTGTGCTAAACTTCTTGATATTTTAAAAAGATCCTAGTGGACTTTGTTTTTAGCACGCTGCAAGAGTTTCGTTTGGAAATAATAAAAAATGAAACTTAAGCTGTGAAGTGCAAATCGGTTTTTGGGCGAAATTCGTCTACTGTTTCGTCCTGCCAGTCCAAGCGACGCGACGGTGCGTTCCGACTAAGAAAAAATGTATTCAAATAATTTGATATCTTTCCTAAAATAAATTCAAGAACTCAAATTACAATTCGTTTATTCATGTCAGTAACCACAATTATGTTTACAAGGGTCATGTGGTACATGGTATTTCGGGATCCCGGTATTGCATTCTCTACTTGAGCCTATTTGGTACCTGGGTAGCCAGACCTGACAGACTAACAGACCGACGAGACTTTTAACTAAGAGCAAAGGTCCACCGGACTGCTCTGACTAACACTGACAAATAGCAGGGTGCTTTAGTATCTGTATAATCTGGGAAGCCAACCATCGCCAATGGCAGTCTGAAGATGCTTTTCAAATAAAAGCGAAACGCTCACTTCTTCTGCAGTATTTTGTTGCGATACTTGTACAGCAAAATGTTTTTAACATTTGTGGCTTTGACAGTGAGGTGGTTGTTATATTATTCTTCTCAATCTCCTCCAATCCTTTCTAGTTGGCACTTTGCTTGGCCTTGGCCACCCTGACCACTGCTGCTGTCCTTCCTGATCAGGCGCACCACGAGAACGTGCCCATCGTGCACCAAGAACATGAGGTGTCCATAGATGGCACCTACCACCACTCCTACGAAACTGCCAATGGCATAGTAGCCGAAGAGCACGGTGTCCTGAAAAATGCAGGCACAGATGCGGCTGCCGAAGAGGTGCAGGGTTCCTACTCTTACACTGCTCCAGATGGCACCCCTATCAGCGTGAAGTACATTGCTAACGAGCATGGATTCCAGCCGGAAGGAGCGCACTTACCGGTCCCCTCTGAGACCATCGCTAGGTCCATCAAGTACGTATCATCACTGAACTAACGTATACTTACAATTTTCTTCATGGTTTGAATAAACTTTTTCCGTTAATGCTTTCCAATGCATTTCAGACGTTGGTTAAAATTTAAATTAAATGAAGCGATATTTTGCCATTCAGAATCTTTATGAACAAATCTACTGATGTTCGGTGGATATCAGCATACTCGATCAGTACACCCATGCATCAATATTTAATTTTCAGATTATTGCACCAAAATGATTAATTACAAAATTAGAATATTGCAGATCTTGAATAAATATAGAAATTTCACATTTTTTAGAAAGAGCTTTTTAAGAAATATATATGTTCCTAGAAAGTTTTGAAATGTCTGTAAAAAAATGCATGTAGATGATAATTTATTTTCCAGATATATAATAAACTAAAGTATCTTTAGAGCGTGCATTTTTCACTAGGCTGCCATACTACAAACCTTTTAAGGGATCGGAATGACTTGCTACACCCTCGTTATTCTAACAAAAATATTATAATATGATGATCAAAGGACAATAAAATGTATTTTCTCTATTCCATTGAACAATCACAAATCCCTCCACAGAAGTTCTAGGATTGGAAACGTTAGAAAAAAAAAATGGATCCAAAAACAATTTAAAAAACCTTACAAATTGAGTGTTAAAAATACGTAAAATTTTAGTACGTAATTTCTCCAAGATATTGACATTCAACAAAATGTTGACCAAGTTTAAAACAGATCTGCAACATTAAGAGTGTAATAACTTAAATTGGCGAATTTTTTTTTAAATAAGTAGCTATAGGTATATTGTGATTCAAGAGCCGCAGATGCCGAAAAAGCCAGTATTTTTAACTCTTTATTTGTTAACCGCGATAGTATATACTGAGTAAGGATAAACAAAAACTCATTTGTATTGAATAGTATGCTTAGACTCCGATATGAGGTCAATAATTTAATAATTACAGGTACAATCTGGAACATGCTGAGCCTGAAGAAAACCACCAACGTTATCACCCAGTTCCAACCCATCCAGCATACACTGCTACCCATGGACATGGATTCCATATTTAAGTAAATAAATACTTGTTTTGTACAAATAAATATAGAAGAGCTATTTGTGTGTGTTGTTATTTCCTTTCTTTCCGGCGGATGAAGATAAAGAAACTCAGCCCTTATTATTAAAGAGGAATACAAAAAAATACGTCGGCACTGGCATTAATTTCTTGTTCTATTGTTTACAACATATCAGCGTTTCAAAATTTCATTAAAAAGGTTTAAATGAAGAAGGAGATACATGGTATTTTCTTCATGTTGTCAAACATTTGAGGGGTTATATTCAGCACCATTCTAAGAATATTCTGACTCTTGATAATTTTCGATATGTATCCACAGCTTCGCTGATGACAATACTCTACATGCAGGAATTCAGATATTCAGAATGACAAGCCGATCTCTGCCGCTGTGCTGGAAAAAAGCAGACTAGCGACGACTTTTCTCAGTTCTACTAACCTTAGGCAGCTCACACATCGGATTAACAAAGTTTGTTTGGGATCATCTTAGCAGCCGCGGTGGCCCGGCATTTAGGCTTCTATCTGCACGCTTGCTTCGGTATAAAAAAAATGTTAATCTAACGTCCATAGAGTCAAACACTCGTTCACACTTAAAATGAAACTTTTGCAAAACATTGACAGGACAACTTCTTCCTAGAATGGTAGGCGTTTTCCCCAAGTATCGGAATCATTCATAAAACAGATATAAGGAAAAATACATGAAATAGTAATTTTGAAAACACAACGTTTTCGATCCTCAAATCTTTTTTAGGCAGCAGAAAGCTTATACAGCAGACGCTCGATAATGTAAACTAATTTAATCCAAGTGTGGTTCACATTATCGAAATGTTTACATTACCGAACGTGATTTATATAATATTTGATTTATTAAAAGAAACGTTTAATACATAATATTTATAACAAAATAAACAAATATTCTAACAGCGATAAGTATTTTTTTAATTAGAAGAAAAATAATTAACAATTTTTGTCCATATATATATCCATGTATGAAACTTCTTTTCTTTCAGCCCAATCTAAAGCTTGGTTAAAAACTTGTATAGCTTGCGCGTCAGTCACTACACTTCAATGGGATCGTTTTCATCATCCTCACTGTCCATATCCTCCTCCTTATCAGCATCATTCGTCTGATTATCTTCGTTCCATAAATTAATATCAGCAGGAGTACAAACAATGTTGGGATTCACTGTTTTCAAAAAATCAACAACATCCAGTGACACACTAATAACATTATCATTATTGGATCGCAAACGTTCTCTAATTACGCTTAAGGAGACATCGTCTTCTTCATCATCTTCATTATCGAGACAAAAGAGATTGTTCCAACATTTTTGAATAGTTTGCTGGTTAAGTTCATTCCAGGCCATATGTAAATCTAAAACAGCTTTTCGTAATGTTACTTTTTTTAAAGCCTCAGATAAGTTTTCAGGATTCTTTGATAAGACAGACGAAAGTAGAAACTTCCTATAGTGTAGTTTGGTGAGTCTTATTATATTCTGGTCCATCGGTTGAATTAACGGTGTTAGGTTAGGTACATGACGAAAATTGTACCCATCGGTGCTCCTCAGTTGTTGCTCGGGAGGATGACTTGGTGCATTATCCAATAGTAATAACGCTTTTATTGGAAGCTTCTGTTGTTTTAGGAAACCTTTTACCTACAAATTGGAAACACATCTTCAAATTATGAATAGAGCATTTGTGATAATTGATTGTCATACCTGAGGGACAAAGCACCTGTGGAACCATTTCAGGAATATACTGCTAGTCATCCAAGCGGTTTTTGAACAGTCATAATCAACAGGAATATTAACATTTTTAAATGAGCACGGATTTTTTGCTTTCCCAATTATCAGTGGCTTTATTTTGTGTAAACCATTAGCATTAGTGCAGGCTAGAAACGTTATTCGTTGTTTCTCCGGCTTTCTTCCCGGGGCAGATTTTTCAAATGATGCAGCATAGGTTTTCTCTGGTAACATTTTCCAATAAAGGCTACTTTCAACTGCGTTTTAAATTTGTTCCATTCTTAAATCTAGCTCGGTAATTGTTTTCATCAATTTTTCTTTGAATGGTTGCACTAATTGTGGTTGTGCTGATAATTTTTCACCAGATATAGACAGCAGTCGAATTCCATATCTTGTTTTGAATGGTTGTAGTCAGCCATCACTAGCTACGAAATTTTCAGTTTCTTTCAGTTTTTCATTTAACAGTTTCGCTCTCTGTTTAAGTACTTCGCCACTAACTGGGACATGATTTTCCCGTTGTTTTAAAAACCACTTATACAGGGAATTTTCCATTTTAGGTGCCTTCGCATTTTGTAAAGTTTTTCTTTTTCCTGGACCTCCAAATGTATTGCACGTTGTTTGTAAAATTTGAGTTTTCATACGCTTAATTTTACAGATTGTTGCTTTCGATACTCCATATTTTTTTGCTAACTGTGTCACTCCCGCACCTAGTGATTTTCACTTTCTCACTCAACTTTAAACACTTTCTTTTATAGGATGTGGATGCCATAGTCGTAAAATATATTAACGCGTGCAATGTATTCACTTAAGTTCAAAAATGAAATACATACGTACGTAGAAACGTATCCTAAACGATCATACGACTGACCGAGTTTGTCGTATTTTATCGCAGAGGTGAATCCCCTACACTCTACATCATAAATCGGGGACTCCCCGACGCCCGACATAAATCATCGAGGCTTCAGCATTTTACCGTCGCGCTGTTTCCGTGCGCCGAGAGTTGTTTACGTTATCGAGCGTACACATTGTTTACGTTATCGGGCGTTCCGTTTGATCCTATAGAACGAAGTTTGTGTTTACATTAGCGCAAGTTTTCATTATCCCGTGTTTACGTTATCGAGCGTCTGCTGTATGTTTATCTAGATAGTCATCATCATATTCGCGATGATAGCGCCAGCTAGTGGACGACGGACAGAAATATTTGTGCTTGATACGTGGAATATAAAGACCCGTGCGAGGTTTCAACGAGTCGAGTTCGTGTACCATGGGAAAGCTCCGCTAAGGGTTGACTTGGCGGAATCATATCAAAGCGCAAAAAACAAATTAAGCTTCAACAGCTTCACCCATTATTGTGTAAACGTTCAAACTTAAGCTTGGCTAACAAGATACTCTTAGGGATAACATCAAGCAACAAGCGCCGCAGCACTAAAGCAAAGCGGAATCGCACAGCAACCCTCTGTTGCGCGAGTCACTGGGCTACACAGTCAAGCAGGTCCGCAAGCACTGTAATCAAAATTAATCGGCGAATTTACAAACAAAATGATAGAACCTTTACAAAAATCAAATTTTGGACCATATGAAAATTTGTCAAGTGACTTTAACAACTCCTAAACGCTCTCTGTCCTCAAGGATTCTCTTTTTCTTCTTTATCCTCCCCCTTCCTGATCTCCTTTTCTTCACCTTTTCCGTAACATTGTCTAGTTTCTGCGTAACCGGAGCTGATAGAATTACTAAGTGACACTATGACACAAGAGCTAAGCCCTGGTAGTACATATCTGTACATTTTGTCGTCTTTTCTTGACATTTCGTAGGTTTTTTTGTGACATAACGTAGGTTTTTCTACAGGATGTTAACTTAGCACAAGCTGTTGTACACTTGTTGTGAACTCGTGCGAGCAAACAAACACTAAAAACTACCTAGTCTGCAAAACGGCATTTCGTCGGTTCTTTTTACGTCTTTTCAGGTTTTTTACATAATACCCCTGCGGGTCCTACCGCCTTGACAACCAACGATGTCTTGGCTGCAATATAAAAATAAACAGATATTGATGAAAATACATTTAGTCGAATTGAAGGTAGGAAAAATTTGAATTTTATAATGACAATTGTCTTTTAGTCTGATAAATGATGACAGCAAAATACAGGTACCTTTGCCAGACTTCAGTCTACCCCAAATGACACAATTTTCACCAGAGAGGCGCCTAGATTCCACTATCTGTCCCCTGTTAGTTCAACCAAAGGAAATATTTTCATTACAGTTACACTATTAGTTAGAATGAAAGCGTCCTTATTTCATTTTATGGTTGTTTATTATCAACATTTGTACATGGCACAAGTCTAAAAAATGAAGTATCTACAAACACCTACGCAATCTAGAACCTCCTGGGCAGATTACCCTGTGGTTTCTCCTCATTCTCCTCGGGATGAGCAGCATTGTATTCCAAAGACCTGAGGATGGCTGCTGGGATTGGTGGGGGTGTTTTGTCGTCGACGGGTGCGACTGGAAGGTGAGCCCCTTGGGGTTGGAAGCCATTCTCGTTGGCGATATAGGTCAGCTGTATGGGAGTGCCGTCAGGGGCAGTGTACTGGAAACCTAGAAAGCAGAGTAGTGTGATTTCAATGGAAATAATGCTTTCGCTGCTCATGTTTATTCTGATGTCTACAACATTTCGTTTAATCTACGAAGCGAGAATACAGAAATTTAGTTTAAATGAAGAGTGTTGTTAGTAGATAGTGTTGCAAATGCTTGTTTGAAATTTCCAGAAGAATACGGACTTAATTTCGTTTCATTCCATAAGCTAGAATTTATGAAAAATAAGTATTGAGGAATCATCAATTTTTGATTTATTGACTTTTATTTATTTTTGATTTTTATCCCTATGCCAACGTTGCAACCCTTGTCGGATCAGCTGGCTCAACGTCATCGTTATTTTTTGAAATATCAACCATCCTTTCAAAGTACTGAACAGTTTTAACTGACTCCCAAGTGTTGGAAGCTTAGCACGAGAACAGCACCAGACTGCCAGTTGGCACTTGAGAGTGTCCTCATCAGTAAGAACATAACTGTTGCCAGGGTGAAGGGTAATTCACAATCCAAGGGTAATATTATACTGAATTGGCTGGCAAAAAGGGCAGCTGACACTAGAATTGTGGGCCCAGTACCCTCTGTATTCTACCCATCACAGCCATGAAATAGCAAAAAAACTACATTTATATGTTCAGTAAACAGTTTCTATTTGCAACTGGGATTGCAACTGAACACTGTCAGCTCAGGAAGCATGTCAAAGATTTAAAAGACTTTTTTCTGAATGGCTTCATGAACAACCAAGAATAGACGTCCATGTGCTGCTTGAATTAGGACTGCCAAGGTTATGCCCAAACTATTGTATGTACAATCATCTGATAAATAATCACGTAAATCATGTATCATAAACTTATGTAAACATTTTCAAGTCATGTTATTACATGTTTAATATCTTCAAAATTGTATTGTTAATGATATTGTAGTATCTCCGCACACATTTTTATATACCAACTACGAGCCGCTTCCTAGTTCAGTTGGCCCAACTATTGAAATCTTAGTTTTTTTCTTATCAAACACAAATAATAAAAATGTAGCAGGGCGTTATAGGTTTAAAATTTTAACAATGAATATTTTGATTATATATAGTAGAAAACACCAACTTTATCACTCCCTAATCAAATTTGCAGCATAAAAATAACACATGCTGCAATTACAGCATATCAACCTATTTTCATTTCAATGCCAAATACGTCTTTTTACAGTTTTACAGTTAAGTGCTCTATGGAGTGACGCTGTTGGAAGGAGAATTTCGAGATCCACAACTCATAGAGAGGCCCATAAACTGGGATATAGCACTTGCAAGGCAGATTTTCTTATAAAAAAAAGTGAAGAAAAAACCCTAAAGTTGCACAACTTGTTTATAGGCCAAAGAAAAGCAACTATTAACTCCACTGCAAAAGAAAAATCGGCTTAGATGGGCTAAAGAACATAGACAATGGACACCTCAACAATGGTGTGCAATACAATGGAGTGACGAGGTCCGATTGGAAGTTTGTGTTGGTGACAGTCGCAGTAGAGTTATTCGCAAAAAAATGAAGCATTCCATGTTGACTGAAAAGTGAAATTTCCAGCATCCATTATGTTCTGGGGCAGCATGTAATCAAAAGGAGTAGAAAAACTTTTTTATTGATGGAAATGTGGATGCAAACAAATATTTGGCCAAGATTTTGTGTTTCAGCAAGATGCTGCAGCGTGCCATATCTCAAAAAGGGCTATAAAATGGATGGAAGAAAATAATGTACCACTTTTGAAATGGGTTTCTAGCAGTCCAGATCTGTCACCTATTGAAACTTTGTGGCACGAGATGAAAAAGGTTCTACAGCAACATCCTGCTCGTACAATCACCGAACTGAGACAAAAGCTTCAAGAAATATGGGATTGTTTTACATCAAATTTTTGCCAAAACTTGGATAACATTATGCCCCAAAGAATTTCAGCTGTAATAAAAAATAAAGGTGATGTTACCCAATGGTAATCTTTCAATTGTTGCTTTGCTAACTTCGCGCATTTATTCGCACATTGTTTATTTGTTCAGATGTTCTATCAGTTATAGGTCTAAGTGATTTCAAATATGTATCTTTTACGACTAGAAAATGTTTTTGAGAAAACAAATTGTTTTAGAAGTAAATAGTTTCGTCAAGTTTAGTATATGAAGGCATATTTTGGTACAAATCTTGAAGTGGGCCAACTGAAGTGGGAAGGGGCTCGTAAGTTTGGGAGCGTGAGATGAAGTGATATTTCAGGATGTTTCAAGATGAATACGAAAAGGATGTGACTTAGGAACTTAGCATCATATGAGAAAATTTTATGCACATCGGTATTACCTCCTTGTACTTCCTCAGCTTCAGCATCCTTGTTTCCCGCATTTTTCAGCTGTCCTTGCTCCTGGACCGAAATACCATTTCCAGTTTCATATGAGGATCTGAATGTACCATCGAAGTTGACTTCGGCGTCTTGCCTGAGGATGGGAATTGGTTCCCTACCAGTCAACTGAGCTGCGGAAGCTGCCGCCAATACGGCCAGGAGTACTACCTGCAACATGCATCCCATAACCTCAAACTTTTATTTATAGGTAATTTTTATTGATCAATAGATTAGTGGCCCGCTGCACTGTCTTAATTTATAATATTGTGATCGCAAAAAGTAGCGGTTCACAATTGTTCGGTGTTTCATTACGTCTAAATCACAACAAAATCGTGTCGTCTCTTTCCTACATATCTGCCCTCTGTTGCCGTTCTTCTAACCACGTTATCTCAGGATCGGCTGCATCGATTTAGTAGAAAGGACCTGGCACAGTAGAATCGTTTCTCGTCCATAGAAAAATGTTTTTCAACTCATTCTGATCAAGAGCTTCCATGGCAACAACAAAGTTATTTAGTTTTTCATTTTTGCTGGCTCCGAGTCAATTGTAGGAAATAATGTTAAAAAAAGAAAACGATACCGGATTTATTAGATTGCTTCTGAATGATACTGAGTAATTAAGTGAATTTTTGACTCCATAGCAATCAGTTTTATTTTAACATGTTAACGAGTGACTGTGAAATTGTTCATTCTGAGGATAGAGTGTTGCAATAACGTATTATTTACAACTGATATTTACAAGCATCATTAGTATATTGGGTTAATGATGATACTAAAAGAATAACTGAATTTGAATAAGGCTTTGTATTAGTATTCATCATTTCCAATAACAAAATGAATAATAAATTCATAATGAACTAACACATGCACATGCAATACAGGCACAATTTTCAATCGAATTATTGTGGGTGTTTCGGAGAATTGACGTATACATAAATTTACACCTATGTAACGTACATGCTAGGAAGTCATGCAATATGGTCAGGACATGCCATTAGTTACAAATTACCAACACTACGTAAACATGCGCCATGAGGTCAAGGGTTGCTATTCTGAAAAACTGTACTCGACTGTATTTATTTCGAAGATAACAGATAAGAGGTCGATCAAAATTTTTGTGCAATACATTCTTACTAGCCAAATAGTATACGGAGCTCCTCAATTTGCGAAATTAATTAAAAAGGACTTGGAATTCAAGAGCCCCAAGCTCATCAACATGCAGTAAATAACTTTTTCAAATATACCAAGGTCACTTCTTATTCAGTAACATATGTACAGCAATAAAACAATCGTTATTGTTCGTTACTTTTCAATGGAGAGATTCGTGGAAGTTTCTAGTGAAAAATGTCGAAGACCGTAGAAATTGGATAATTAATACTAATATTGCATAAAACATTGCTTTTGTGTGTCTGAGAAAGTTTGGCAGTCTATGACGATGCAAATGGAGTTTTACATTATCGGTGAAAATAGTCACTGAAAAATTCTTACAGGTTCCGAAGTATACGTGCGGGTAGAATAAGAATTATTCTATTGTGGCTTTTATACCACAGATACACCAAGTTGAACTAACACCATCAACAATTGAACAGTCAGTAGAGGATACTCCAAAACACTACCATTTCTTTAAATTCCAATGATTAAGATAACAAGTGAAATATTAAGACGGTATTTAGGTTAGCGTACATTTAAATTTCAAACTGACATTTATGTTTTATATCAAACTCAATCTTGTAACCTCCCGCCTAGAGCCATAAAAGTTAATTCCCTAGGGGACAACATAATAGTTATACAAATAAGTTTTTTCAAAAAGTTAAAAATTACTTCTTACGCGAAAGCTTTTTACCCGCGATTTAGTTTAGTATCAAAAAGATTGTCTCTTTGGAAATCAAATAGATTGAAAAGACATTTGACACTTTCCACATGCACAATCGACAGCCTTGATGATATAATACCCATTATTTTCAAGTGTCAAGAACCATAACGATGCTTAAGAAAAGGCATAATAATCTTAACAAGCATTATCTAAAGGTAATTGATGCAAAATGAAAACAATTCTCCCGCGCACTCTTTGACAGTTGACATAACGGATCATTACACTTCAAAGGATGCCATGCCATGTTTTCGATCTATCACTGAATGCAGAATTCTTCCATTCTGAAGTTTATGCTGTACAATGTCCACCAATCTCACCCTTTGTAATTTTAGAACTCATTTCTTCCAAAAATACACAATATAGGGTTAGTACACATGCTCTTTCTTTAAGGTTAGTCAACTATCCACATCCACTGTACACAACCCTCTCCCCAACTCCACCCCCCAAACTTACAGCTGATGCTTTCATGTCGGGTGTAATTATCACAGCAAGATGTAGCGAACTATCTGACTTTGACATTCTCGCCACCATATTTATAGGACACGGAATTCGATCGGTCTCATCTCCACCGCTAGCCGTGCTTAACGTTCTTAGTTCTTACAACACCTCTTCAGCGGCTGCGAAGAGTTAAAGTGCTCCATACACGTCGAAAGGAGAAGAATGTGATTACTTATTCGTCATTGCTCTCTTATCCTAGTCAAATTATTTCACGATAGGTTATTTTAGAGTCTGGAGGTGAAAATGTCTCCGATGTTATGCACTGGATAACAAAAATAGCTACAAATACTTTAAAAGTTCGCACTGACCATGAGCCGATCCATTTTATCCAGAAGTGAACCACTTGGATAAAATCAGTTTTATTTGCAGTAAGAATTTGTCGTATCTAAGAGAGCTCAGGAACAAAATATACAAATTCCTTGCACGGAATTGTTAATTTTGACAAAAACTTCAGCCACACCCAAAAAAATGCCTTACAAAACAAGCGTTAAGCATGAAACGATCCTAAAACAGTCACAAATGAAAACAATTAAGCAAAATATTTGAATTATGAGAGTACTATAGCAGATAGCATCCCAATTTCTAGCTTAGATGGTGAACTTTATCACAGAAGCTTAATCGTTCATGGCAACAGCCAAGCTAGCCTACCTGAGAGTTTCGAAAACAAAATAAATACTTCTTAATATGATTTTTTTTTCAAAAATATAAATCAGTAGTGCTTTATCTTACGCAAGGGGATGTCAGCTAGTAGTGATGATTGGAATCTCACTTGGGGTAAGCAATACACCTAAATCTATGGATCACCAATTGTCAGAATATCGAGATTACTTAAAACTGTTTTGATAGAATGTCCGGAAACTCACACCTTGAATATTAATAAAGTAAACAAGACTTAAGTCAACTATTCTATTGAGTCTTCGCTGTATATGAAGGCTTGAAATAGTATTTTTCTATAATATCACAAGATCACTTTCTGATGCTCCTTTATGTGTTCTATCCTAGATACACTTGCCATATTATTTCCAGTACATAACTTATGTAATATTAATCAAGCTACTCATACTTACATTGAATTGAGGACAAAGCTTAATTTATTTGTCCAACACCTTTGCATATTAAAGCAATGCTTATAAGAGGTGCCAAAGCTGAGTACACACCAGGTGCAAATACTGGACGACTTAGAGATCCCATGTGGATCGCTGGTGCCGGAAACCATTCTAAGCACCCCTCCATCAGCTTACTCATAACAGAAAGCAGAGCTATGAGCCTGTGGTTGTTAGGGTTGGTCTTAGAACCTTTTTTTGGGACGGATTTGTCAGATACCGTAATCTATGAGCAAAAATGAGTAAACTATCCATTCGCGGCTAAAACCTTCTTTTAGTAAGCATATGTCTGTAAAAAAGTATTGTAGTGGATGGCTACCTTCATGGTCTCGTTAAGCCCAGACGAGTAAATGAACCAAAACTCAAGGACCCAATCTGCCCGCGAGTAAGATAAGAAATTGAATTGGGCCGATTTTTTAACGTAAATGTCAGGTTTTGTATCTTGAGGCTTTATTGTGAGACGAAAAAAATGAACAATCAAGGTTAAGAAGAAGACGTAATGTTAACATACGGGTTTGCAGTCGCTACTGTATTCGGGTATCAATGTGAACTTCATAACTACACAGTGCGTTTTCTTATGAATCTTAAGATATTTTACCAACAGCAAATCCCATTTGTCCAGGAAGATTGTGGCTAATTTGGTAAAGATTTTTTCCACTGAAGTGCATGTGCTATAACAACCTCGTAAATTACAGTAACTACTTAAGTCCAAATAATTTCAAGACTGATGAGATACGTGAATAATGTTTAATGGAACGCCAATCTTTCTAATCCTTACATAATATGTCACATTTGCAGTAAAATTGACGAAGTCGTATATTCCACAAATATAATGCAGTAAAATATATAAGCCAAAATTTGGCATGACAGAACTGATGCATAAATGCTACATTTTAACGTGAAAATAACAGTTGATAGATAGAGAAAAAAATGTGTTTTCAAATGCAAAATTTAAAAAAAGAATCGAAATAAACCTACAAAACGTAATTTAAAAAATAATAATATGAATACAAATACAAATACAAGAGGTACAGATAAAATTAGATCAAAAACTAGACAGAGATAAAACTTAACGTAGTAAAATGTAAAAAAAACAAAACAAAACAGATATAAATGAAATGGTACAAATAAAGTAGGTAAAATCAGGGTGAAATGTGCAAAATTAAAATAAACAAAATACAATGAATTACTAACACTTATCTAAAACAAATTTTCTTAGGAGCCATTTGGACCGGTTTAGGTTGTCACACTTTTTTGTTATCACAGGCAACTTGTTTAATTCAGATAGTCCTTCATATAAATGATTAAAATTAAGATAAATATTTAAAGGCTGAATTATATAACACTCAACTTCGATACCCTGCCAGATCTTTGTATTGAAAGAAAGATAAGGAGATTTAGAAGGAATCCCATATCCATCAAAGAAACGTTTCAGAATGGCCAAACCATCATTTTTAAATTTTCAACTGACACTTTGATACTAAAATATAGTTATACTAAGTGACATATAAATCCGAACACCCAGTTTAAATGGTTTTATCTTAATAAAAGTTGGTGAATGTATTTATCTTAGTATAAATAACAAGTGAAAAAATTTTCAGCCTTATCAGTTGGACATTCCGGTTTTTATACTGCTTTTTTTTAATTCACTAACGCTCTAAAAATGAAGCCGCAGTAAAGAATCAACGTTGGCGGATTTTGGTTCTTGACATCCTTTACGATCGGTTACGATACCTAGAGTACGGAGGCCTGTACGATTTCGTCAACTTAGTGAGTTTGGTAGGGGCCGTATAGTGGAACTTCGGGAAGCTGGACTTTCTTTTCGGGCAGTTGCAGTTACAGTGCAAAGAAGTGTAGACACTGTGGTTAGGTGTTGTCAGGCATGGCTTCGAGAAGGCCGTACGCAAAGAGCAAGGGGCACTGGACGCCGCCGTAGAACAACAGACCGTGAAGATCGCCGCCTAAGATTACTGGCCTTAAGGGACCGTTTCTCCACTACCAAGTCCATTGCATTAGAATGGTTTGCAGAACACGGAAGACCTATTGGCATGCGAAGTGTTTACCGACGAATAAGAAGTTTTGGCTTGTTTTCATACCGGCCACGCTGGGTCCTTCCTTTAACTCGAGAACACCGACGTAATCGCCTTGAGTGGTGCAGACAACGGTCACTCTGGGATCAGGAATGGAACAGTATTGTCTTTAGTGACGAGTCTCGATTTTGTTTAGGCATGCACGATGGTCGTGCCAGGGTTAGAAGGCGACGTGGTGAAAGGAAGAATCCACAGTTTTTTGTTGAAAGACATGTTCATCACACTGTTAGAGTTATGGTTTGGGGTGCTATAGCTTATGGTTCCAAGTCACCTTTAATCTTCATCAGAGGTAACATGAACGCGCAGCGTTATATTCACTAAGTTCTAGAACCCCATGTTTTACCCTATCTTGACACCCTGGCAGATCCAACTTTCCAACAAGATAATGCCCGACCACATGTTGCAAGAGTCACAATAGACTTCTTTCAACATAATGATGTCACATTGTTACCATGGCCACCAAGATCTCCCGACTTATCCCCAATTGAGCACGTGTGGGATATGATGGGTAGGAGATTGCTCAATTTGCAACGTCCTCCTCAGACTCTAGAAGTACTTCGAGAGGAGTTGGTGGTTGCCTGGAATGAGATACCACAGGAGGACATTGACCACCTGATCAGAAGCATGCCTAGGCGCGTTGGAGAATGCGTAGCACATCAGGGTGCATCCGCACATTATTAAAGGTCAAAGGGCTTTAAAGCAGTGCAATCATTTTGAAATTTTTATTATTTACTTATTATGCTTCATTAAGTACTTATACAAAATTTTATTAAAATAAAACCATTTAAACTGGGTGTTCGGATTTATATGTCACTTAGTATATTTTAATTTTATTACCCCAAATTCTAGCTTGTTAACTTGACCCGTTCAGAAAATGGTAGGGAGGGGTATCTTTTGAAAAGCACTGCATGCTCAGTTTTCCGAATACTACATCGGTCGGTTACTAATGCATAAAGAAAATTTAAAGCGCCCACAAGTGGACAAACATTTTGTTATTGACTCAAAAAATATGAATAATAGGACAGGCTGTATTTTAAAAGCTTACAATGCTTATTTTGTAATGATAGTCGTCATTTACTCGAATTCATTGGTTTTAGTTGATAATTATTATTAAAGTAATCCCCAAAAACCTTACATACCCCTAATTTGAAAAATATGCGCAAAATAGGACTTATAGAAAAAACGTTAAATCATCAATCAACATTTTGTTTTTGAGCAAGGTTAGCAAATACACACAGTTTATAATTGCTTATAATTTTTTCTCTGCTCCCTGTCTTGTCGCATCTCACTTTCCTTCCTTATACCGAAAAGCATTGATGTCTTCAGCGATTATAGAAATATTCATTTTTCCGTTTGTTATTTTTATCTGACGTCAAAAAGGATTAAAAAAAGTGTATAGTATAATAATACCAATAAAATTTATTTACATGGACCTATAAAGTAAATAAATATAAATATAAAATCCCATAGAAGGCCATGCGTATGGAGTTGAAAATAATTGGTATGGAGGTATGCTTTGCAAGACTCAAACTAAAACCGTGTATACCAAATTAAGATAAAAGGACCCTAAGGTCTAACCATATGCATGCATGCATATGTTATAAAGACTTGGCAGCACTCTTCCCACTATCGAAGCACAATTTGCTTAACATCTCAATGGATAAATAGACCGAATAGTAACTGATCCTATGGATGTTTGTGCATTGGCGGGTTATAGCAATATGTTATATGAACCTTCTTCTTTTAGAAGGGGATACCTGAGCGTCCAATGGAATTTAAAAAAGACGATTACACATTCGGATACACCCTTCCAACAGAAGAAGATCAAGATGACTTACTACATCGTCTTGATCATTGGTTGTTGAGTGATTTGATTTACAGAAACGCTCACCTTTGACAGGCCGTCTGTCTGCCATTTAAAA